TTCTACTTTACAAATTCATACTTATGATCTATTGCAAAAACTGGCTCAAGCGCCGATTGCACCTAAAGTTCGAACAATCAACCCCGTACTCGGGGACTTCCATCAAAAAATTGACTTGCTCGGGTTATTAAACTTCAAGATTATAAGACCTTAAAAAGGTAACCCTCATTTTTATAGGCCACGACCACCATACTCGGGGACTAACGCTTCGAACAAGTTCGAAGTATAATTGAGAAACAAGCCCAAAGGGCAAATCTCAAGTTAAAGGCTACAACCAAACTAACACGGTTCGGATACATCCAAATGCCGTAATAAAATAGGCCTTCAAATATTTTCATAAGACCGGTTTAAAAAGGCTACCCTCAGTGAAATTACAAAGGGTTTTGATAACATCAACCCTCAAAAACCTTAAGGGGTACCAAATTGTTCGAACTCTCGAACAAGCTTATGTTAAGGCATAACAAAGTAAAGGGTTTCGATAACACTAACCCTAAAAAATCCTAATGGTTAGAGATTTATCTCGTGCTAAGGCACAATAAATTTTTATATAATTAAACTTTTTAAGCTGAAAGGGGAAAACCACTCTTCTGAGGCCATATTAGTCCAATTCAAGAGCCTTAGGGCCGTTTTATTCTTTGAGTTCAAGAAATCCTCGCTCAACCAAAACCTAAGGGTCACCCTGCTTCGAGTTCGAGTTCGAGCAAATACTCACTCGATTATAGAGATTTCGATCAAATTGCCCAAGCCTCATACTTATGAAAATTTTTGAGACATGGTCAAAACAGAATCTGTACAGAGCGGAGATTGAAATAAAGACAAGTGAGAGAAAAGAGAGATATTTTATATATGATAATATTTACATGGATCGGTTAGGAACCTACACAAAAAATCTAAAAAAACAAAAAATTCAATAGTGCTAATCTTCCCTGGGAGCCTCAGCTTTATCTTCTCCACCCTCGGAACCACTCACGCTCCCAAAATCATCATCGTCACAAGAGAGCAACACTTTAGCTTCAGCCTCAACCTCTTTTGCATTCTCAATCTCGACAGCAAGGTTAAAGCCACCAGCATGAATCTCCTCAAGAGTATTTCGTCGAGAATGGCATTTGGCATGCTCGGCAACACAGAATGCTCGATTCTGAGCAGTATCGGAAGTTTCTTTTGCTCGAGCTTGAGCAGCCTCAGCATTAGTTCGATAGACAGCCACAATCGCCTCAACATCAGCTTTAGCCGTCTCAACCTCGAATTTGGCTTTTGCGAGTTTGATGACCAATCGAGCCTCGATCTCCTCCATTTTCTTGGCCTGAGCTGAGCTTTTCTCCTTCACGCATTGGAGCTGACTTTCGGCCGCTAACAATTGGGCTCGAGCAGCCTCTTTCTCCGAGGCAAGGCAATCCATCTTCTGCTTCCACATTGAAGTCTCTGCCTTCACATAATCTAGTTCTCTTCGGAGTTGCATTATCGTTTCATGCAGCCGTTGGACCTGTGAGATCGAATCACTAGTCGTCACCCCCAAACCAAGGCCATAAGCGTCTAAGACTTTGCTTACCTGCTCGATCAATTCACTTTGTTCTTTTTGGGCAACGACCAACTCAGCTCGGAGACCTTCGATTTCTCTTTCTTTTTGCTCGCCAAGAAATAGAGAGCATTCGTCTCCTCAGTAAGCCTTTAAATGTCGGTCTCATATCGACCCAGTTTCGCCCGAGATTTGGAGAATGCCTCCTGATAAAGTGCCAAGGCCTGCACAGATAGAAGAAAAAAGATTAGATAAGAAAGGAAGAAGCACAAATATGATATCAACAAAGAGAGTCAAAAGCCTACCCGATTCAGAGCCTATTGTGCTTCATCAAAGAGACTCGGCGCCCCACTCCAATCCTTCTCCGATGTTTCCAAAACACTCGAGCCAACAACATCGTCAACCCTGGCAAAACATCCACGAAAAAGGTCTTCCACTTCAAGGGTGCCTTCTACGTGAGGAGTCTGCATGTCCCGAGCCTCTCTAACTTACTCATATGAGAATAAAGGAAACGGAGGAGAGTCTCCGATTTCTATTTCCCCAAGTGGGTCACTAGAGGCACTCTCTCTATTCCGATGAGCCTCGGGGCTGGCCTCCACAGCCATTTATGATGCCTTCTCACCCTGAGGTAGGGTGTCCTCGACTCCCATCAACTCAGGGACTCCAGTTGAATTCCCCTCTTAGACCCTGTCAGGTCGGGGTAGAGTATCTCCAATTTCGACCAATTTGGTGGCTTTTTGACCCTATGTGATGGCTCGTGTTCGAGCCATCAGAATGGAATCATCCTCTTTCTCTTCTTCTTCTTCCTTCTCCTCTTTTAAGAGTTGGACCAACTCCACCGATAGAGGAATAACCTCACCCTTGCGGGCTCACCTCTTCTTAGGTTTTGGCTCGTCTAGGTTCGTGGAATTCGAGACTTCTTTTTGTTTCCGCTCTTTCTTCTATTTCGGAGCGGGTGGTTGGGAAACGTTTTCTTCCTCTCTAGACGGGGGCTTCATAACAGCATTGTCTCCGAGACCTATATGAAAAGAAATCAAGTAAAAATAAAAAGAAACGTTTCAGAGAAGAGCATCAAATGCATGTAAAGAAGCTTACCATGATTTTTGGCCTCCCATCGGCCCTTTGCTAAATCTCGCCATGAGCGCTTAGCATACAAAGAGGTCGAGGCCAGTTTCCGAACCCAACTCTCAAGGTTTGGAATTGCACCAGGCACCCAAGAAACCGTTGTATCATAGAAAAGGGTGTCGATGAGAAAGGGAAAAAGAAACAAAATAATAAACAGAAGCTATAGCTAGGTTTGTACTTATGCTTCATGTTCCATTCCTTGGGGAATGGCATTTACTCGGGCGGGATTATGTCGGAAGGCCTCACTCGAACGAATCGGCCCATCCATCCTCAATCCTTGTCCTTGTCTATACTCGAGAACAGTACCTTGGTAGCCCGACGTTGAAGCCTTATCAACCAGCCTCGATAGAGACGATAACTGTACATTCTGATGAGATAGTCGAGGGTAAAAGGCATCCCTTCGACCTTGCTCATGAAGAATCGGAGCAGAATGACAATCCACTAAAAATAGGGATGGATTTGACCTAGGGTTATTTGCTATTTAAGGTAAAAGTCAATGATTATGGAATCGATAGGACCCAACATAAAAGGGTAAGTGTAAACACTTAGAAACCCTTTCACATGGGTAGTGATGTCTTCTTCCTGCGTCGGAATCACCACCTTTTTATCTTCCCAATGATAATCATTCTTTACCTGCTCAAGGTCATCCTCAGTTATCGAGTATATATATCTCGGCATTGGCTCGCATCGGTCAAGGACCGATGAAGTTTTCTCGGCTTTGAAGTTGGAAGTAAGATCACACCCCCATGGAACACATTCCTCAAGGCATGACTCCACCAGTGTTTTATTGCCGGCCAGCCTCGATGAAGAAGCTTTTTTCTTTTGCGGAACGAATTTTGACGTTTTTGCCATTTTGAATAAGCTTAAAGAAAGAAGAATAGAAGAAGACTTGGTGTTTTGTGGGAAGGTTGATAACGAAGCCTAGAACACTGTACAGAACGGGAAGGCTTAAAAGATGTAAAAACTTTGAAGATTTGCAGGTGAACTTGAAGAATTCAAAGGGATTCTAAAGATTAATACAAGCAAAATTCAAGCAAAATTCAAAGTAAAGTTTGAGGGAGTGAAAAGAAGACCTATTTAAGGGATTCACGACGACCGTTCAAAGGCACTGGCGGCCGACCGCCAACTGACACTCATTAATGATTTTGGGGACTGTACCGACGGGACGTTTCGGTCACTTCCGTCGCGTACGTCACGAGAATGACGTCATGACAAATCGAGGTACAAAATCGAAGGCTCAATTTGTTTCTTCTCATTACATTCCAAGAAACGAGAGGACTATCTGTATAGGTTAAAACCGGACATACCTGATTTTACTATCTGACCGAGGCCAGGGAATTGCATCGAGGGTCAGCCTCGTAATGGATCAGACTAGAGCACGAAGACAAAGTATCGAGTTCGGGAATTGAGGTGCCTATCGAGATCGGGGCCAGCAGCGATCGAGACCAAATGTGATAGACTTCGAGCAAAGCGCAATAAAGGAAAAATGAGATATCCGTAACCGGTTGAAGATCATGGCAGAAATTCCGGAACAGATCAAATCATGGGCGGTTATTTAGTTAATCATGTGATTTGCTTCCGTAATTAGAATTGTACCATAACTAGGATTCCTCTACTATATAAAAATGACCCTAATCATTTTGTAACCATCTTATATTCACATATATCAAAGCAATACAACACTTTCTAGCTTATATTCTTGTTCAGCTTGTTATATCTTTTACTATTTTCGCATCAACCTGCTCGAGGGCATCCAGGCTCGAGAGCTTAATTACGTTGTAACACCGGTTTGCTTTATTTTATTATCAATTCCCATTGTTAATCTTTACATTTATCAATTAATATTAGGTGAAATCACGTATCCTTAAAACCACATTATAAGTTTAATTGTTATCCAATTTTTAGAGTAAACACAAATACCATTTTCACTTGAAAAAAAACTTTTTTGAAATTTTACTATTCTTATTTCCAAACGCCCACTAAGATTAAACGCTTTCATTATTTGTCCTTTTAGATTCTCTTGGACTGAGATATCTATCATCATTCTCGACACAAGGGACTCTACAAAAAAAAGAATCGACTCCAACTTGTAATCATGTGATCATAAAGATTAGTGGAATACTGGAATCATTATTGACGTTGCTAGCTCAATCTTCTGAATATCATTATTGTTGCACCAAACTATACTAATTTAGTATGATTTATACTAATTTATTATAATTAAGGGTTAACAATGCAACGATAAAAACACATATCATGTTATTATTGGGTTAGTATAGGCATCGGGCGCGCCTTCAAATTGCATGTCATATTATATAATTAATGATAATAGATATTTCGTTTTTCAATGGATTGATAATAAATGCACTGAAACCATCACTCATCAAATTCATTTACTACGTACATAGTTATATTACACAAGACTGACAATATATAAAGCATGCACGCAGCCTGCAGGATATATAGAATAACACCAAGTTACATTAACTGACAAGCCTATATAGCTAGTTAACTCACGTTATCAGTCCATCATCATATTTGACAATATATATATATATATATATATATATATATATATATATATAGTGAACTAAAAGCAGGTTATATTAAGAAGTACTAAACTAAATACTACTATACTATAATTAATAGGAAGCCTGAAGAGGTAAGGAAGAAATTGGAGATTTGAGAGGTGTAAGTCCTTGCTTACGTCCATGCCTAGCTGCTTGAGAGTTGACCGATGGGTGCATTATGGTGGGGTGAGGGAGGTGGTAGTTCTTTTTCCTCTCGTCCACTATAGTTACTTCTATCTTGACAATTAGAGGAAGTGACAATTATCTGACCCTGTTCATCAGCTGACAATTATCTGATGCTGGTCATCAGCTGGTTTTGGTGGTGGTAGTGGTATTCCGTGCTTCCCAAATCTTTCTTGGTTGTCTGATGAAGTACTCGGAAGCAAAATTAGAAGCTCATTATCACTAATAACATCGCTTGTAATAGTCATTAACAGGTCACTGCTTTCCCTACCATGTCTGCTGGTTGTGACTTGATCGATGGGTGCATTATGGTGGGGTGAGGGAGGTGGTAGTTCTTGTTCCTCTCGTCCACTATATTTACTTCCATCTTGACAATTAGAGGAAGTGACAATCACCTGACCCTGTTCATCAGCTGGTTGTGGTGGTGGTAGTGGTATACCGTGCTTCCCAAATCTTTCTTGGTTGTCTGATGAAGTACTCGGAAGAAAAATTAGCAGCTCATTATCACTAATAACATTGCTTGTAATTGTCATTAACAGCTCATTGCTTTCCCTACCATGCCTGTTGCTTGTGACTTCATCGATTTTCGGACCATGTTTGGGCGCAGGAGGTGGAAGATGAGCGTGTCTTCCAAGTCTTTCTTGGTTACTTGGTGAAGCTGATTCTGGGGATGGAGGTAGTGGAGCTGGCTCCTTTCCATAACCAGATTTTACCACCTTCTGCTCATGTTGCTTTTCTGTAGCATCACCAAACATAAAGTTAGTCTACGTGATTCACTTATAACTAGACAAGCTAATGAATTAAGTGCATGCAGAAGGAAATAAAACCAAGACATATATTTTGGGGTTAATTACTCAACACCAGAGTCCCAGCTAGGAAGGCCACTAGAGTACAACGACAACAATCTGGCCAATATATCCACAAGTGGGCTCTGGAAAGGATACGGTATACGCAGACCTTACCCTATTGTGAGAGGTTGCTTTAAAGGGCCCTCAACTCAGTAAGCACATTAAACATCAGTTAAGATAAGCCACATATAAAAATGAACAGGTTATGGGAATGGAACATAATCAAAAGCGATAGCTAAACAAAACAACCAAAAGCAATATCAGATAATAATAAGCAAAGGGTGCACCTCAACTAGCGTAAACCCAGAGCTACCTGCAAGAAAGGAATGTAAGTTATACTACTTACTAACCTTCTACCCTAATCCTCGGCCTCCACAATTTCTTATCAAAAGCTATCGAAGGCCACGAGAGTATACAGCGTATATAGATCAAATATGTACTAAATTTTGAACACCCAACAATTCTAAATTTTAAATTCTCTCTGTCCCTAACAAGGACAATTACAAAATGGAAGCAGCAATATTACATCATCTCCTCCAGATAGCTTGAATAGGCTTTATCACCACGTTTCTAAAATAAAATACTTCTATGTTTCAGATAGAGGCGGAGCCAAGATTTGAAGCTTCTGGGTTCGGGGTTCTAATCCTTTTAAGTTACTGGGTTCTAAATTAATAATTTATACATATTTAATGCATTTTTTTAAGACAAATACATGAAATGGACCAAAGTGACTGGGTTCGACCGAACCTGCACGCAATGAGCTAACTCCGCCCCTGGTTTCAGAACACCCAGGGAAAGGAAACTAAGGAAAAAAACGAGAAGACTTGCCAGCGCCACAAAGGAAATATAAGTACTATAAATAAAAATATAGAGTAGCATGCTATCAGCATTGTTATATTAATATCTTAGGTAGATTAACGGAAGAAATGATACTAATGTTAAGTGAAAAAAAAATGAGTAGAACTGCAGTTTCCATTGGTGTTTTGGCAAGAATATTAGTTGTATAAATAAAGGAGTAGCCAAAAAAGAAGATTAGTACCTAGCAAAGTTCTTGCTTCAGAACTTATGAAAACGAGGAAGTAAAGAAGAAAGAAATTAGCTTTAATGGAGAGAATCATTTTAGTCATCCTTGTTTTGTTTCTTAATACAGACCTCTTTCAAGTCTCTATTTATAGACAAAAAGGAGAAAAGCTCAAGTGCGCAGTGCATTAGCACCAAATTTTCTTATTGAACTGATGTTAACTGTCGTTAACTAGAATAATACTTTTATATTGAACAATCTATGAGAGGACCTAATTCTGCAAAAAACACATTTTTAATTAGTCCTATTGCGTTGTTATAATAATATATACTCCCTCCCTCCCTACCATATATTGTGAATGTATTATTATTTGGGGAATCAAATCAGGGGCGGATGTAGTGTTATACGGCTAGGTTCAATTGAACTCATAATTTTTGACGCAAAATAAAAATTTATATGTAAAAATTTATTAAAATTACAAAAATAACATATATTAACCCCTAACTTTAAAAATATAATGGGTTCAATGCTAACACCTTAAAAGTTGAACCCATATATAGGGTTTAAATCTTGGATCCGCCTATGAACCAGATGTTTTTTTAACTAAAATTTTCTCAAAATTTTCTAAATATTTTGAATCTTTAGCTATGTTGACTTCTGGTACGTAGTTTGCAATTTGCATATAGATTGTGAATGTGTAGATTTTATTTTAAGAAATATATATGACGAATATATACCTGTACTTAAGTAGAATTTAAATTTGGGACAGAGGAAGTAATAGACTAGGATGAAGGCTAATACGGTAAGTTTGCTTATCAACTACTAGTATCTCTTTTGTTTTCTCTTTTTATATTCTGAAAGGATTTAAATTTATATTTGAAGTGTAAAAAACTTTTACACGATCAATTAAACCTCACCACGATCAACTTAATATTGTATTTTTAAGTTGAAAGCAATAAAGAATATACATTTTCAGTGCACAAAAATTAAACTCACCAGTGGTCGGTCTTGCTCACTCGTTTTTTGGTATTGACTTGATTTAGTGTACGAGCATGCTTGAAAACAGCCACCACTCGAGTCAATTAGCACGTGAAAATTACTTGATTTTTACCCTGTGATTCACTTTTGTATATCATGAATAACTAATCTCCAGCTCTTTAGGTGAATTAAAACATCCGTACAAATATTCACTGTTGTTTATCAATAATTAATCTCGAGCACTTAGGTGATTACGACATCCGTACAATGTTCTGTCGATTTTCTCTCATTACACCTATGTTAGGTCTAATTCAATCGGCCTATCTTCTGAAAAGCAAATTTGGTAAAATTTATTAAAATTCATGAATCTATACACTGGGCCTTGGTGAGGCAACTTTAAAATATATTTTTAGACGAAAAAAGTCATAAATTCCACCAAAACTTGTCTGTAAATTCCTGTTACACACACTTAAATAGGCGAACGATCTTCAAACTAAAGGATATTTCTTGAATAATATATTTAACCAAAAATGTTAGTATATCATGTGTACTCACATAACTATTCATAGCTGTTGATCTCAATTTTCACCAAAGGTTCGGATATATATAGTTCAATAAAGGACAGTTCGATATACAAAGTATTTTGCATTAATATATATAGGATCCGAAAAAGGGTTGTATCTCTAAGGGTGTGATGTAGATAGCATATCCTAATGCATGCATTGATGGCCGCTTCCACGGTTCGACGTAAGCGATAACTCAATATTTCCGCAATATAGCTCAATGTTTCAATCAAAATTTAAGTCATTTTTTATTCCTTTATTTTTCCCCTGAAAGATATGGCATCAAAGATTTGAACAAAAATTCAATTAATGGAGATCTGCCATGTTCCACATATATAGGTGCTTAAAGTAGTAAAGCAAAAGTTGTAGCACTAAAGCTTAAAAGAGAGATGACATGCAATTAAGGATTAGTAAGACGCTAATTTATATTACTCCCTCCGATCACTTTTACTTGGCACATTTTGACTTTTCACGCCTCTTAAGAAATAATAAATGAAGTGTATAATTTACCATGATACTCATATTAATTGATGCATATTATTGGGTTTGACAAAATGATTTGAAATGATCAGTAATAAATACTATGGGTAAAACAGGAAAAAATTTGTTGTCTTCTTTTGATATGCGTAAGGTGCCAAGTAAAAATGAACATCTATTTTTAGTATACATGACAATTAAAAATGACCGGGTTAATACTTTAGGTCAAAGATACTAATACTATGTTGATAAAATCTAAGATACAAGCTTAATTAACTATTAATTTTCGTGGTCATTCGTGGGATACCTGGGCAAATGAAATGCTAACATGGAAATAATTAGCATATCTCTCTACAATAAGGTGCCAAGTAAAAATGAACATCTATTTTTAGTATATATGACAAGTAAAAATGACTGGGGTAATACTTTAGGTCAAAGATACTAATACTATGTTGATAAAATCTATGATACAAGCTTAATTAACTATTAATTTTCGTGGTCATTCGTGGGATACCTGGGCAAATGAAATGCTAACATGGAAATAATTAGCATATCTCTCTACAATCAAAGTGATACTGCAATTAATACTAGATACCAACTCCACCGCAGCATAAAATGGGACGTAAATAATAAATTTACTATGTGGGTTAATTTCCCCACCAGGCCATTTGCTAAAGCATATGTAATCACCACTTTGAAAGAATTAATTCCAAATGTGGAAGAAATACTCGAGTAAACGCTGCCTTTTGGAATTCCCTTTTCCGTTGGATGTCTGTGGTCCTTCTGCACTATACTACAACTTTGCAGAAGAAATATTATGGCCTTCATTTTTCAGTCAAAAAGATACACAACAACTAGCTAGCTAGGTAGTAATCAATAATGAATTTTCCTTAAAAGTTTTTCCAAAGTGTAGTTGATAGGATATATTCCAACTGAGGCCGACAGACCGACTTCAGTCGGTCAAAAAACCGACAAAACAATTGATCGACCTGATCGACCGTTTTATGTAATTGCGCCCCGTTTTTCTTTTTGATGATTCACACATGTATGTTTATATTTTATGACGTACGGAGTTTATTAGTCTCGTTCTGGAAAGATTTTGGGTTGATTTGGACCCTTTGATTCTTGGCTTAGAAGCCTAAGTTAGACATGTTAATCAAACTTTGACTTATGTGAAAACGACCCCTGAACGGTGTTTTGATGGCTCCGATAGCTTTGTATCGTGATTTTGGACTTGGATGTATGCTCGGAATCGAATTTGGAAGTCCGTAAGTTGATTTGTGTTGTTTTGCTGAAATTTGGCAATTTGAAGTTGAAAAGTTTGACCGTAGGTTGACTTTTAGTTATCGGGCCCGGAATTTGATTTTAGGACTTGGAATAGGTCCCTTATGCTATTTAGAATTTGTCCGTAAAATTTGATATCATTTGGAGTTGAATTGATAGGATTGTGACGCTTAGTTGCAATCCTGGTAGTTCTTGAAATTTACTTTGAAACTTACGTGTTTAAGTATTCGATTCATAGTTTTAAATGTTATTTTTGTGTTTTGATCGCGCGAACGAGTTCGTATGATATTATTGGACTTGTGTGGGTATTTGGTTTGGAGCCCCGAAAACTCGGATGACTTTCGAACATGTTACAGAATGTTTTGGACTGAAAAACAGGTGTGATGATGCCTCTGGTGTCACATTTGCGAACAGTAGGTTTACAATTGCGAGCTTAGTAGGGGGCCTCGCTCGCAATTACGAAGTAGCTCAGGAAGATGGGTAGTTCACATTTGTGACAAAATAGTTGTACTAGCGATGGAGACAGGCTTCGCAAATGCGAAGCCAGTGTTGCATTTGCAACCTCCTCTTAGAACTGTTAGTGGACGCATTTGCGAGGAATATTTCGCAATTGCGAGGGTTCATAATTGCGAACCCATGTCACAATTATGACACTTGCAACTGATCAAAAAGGTTGGGAGCCGGAATATTTCAACATATTCTCTCATTTTAGAACCCCCAAACTCGGTAGGAGGCGATTTGGAGAGGAGATTTTTATCTACAGACATTGGATAAGTGATTTCAATCAATTTTCAATTACATTTCATCAATATATCTTAGATTTAATATCAAAATCATATGAATCAAAATAAAAATTTGTGAAACTTTGTCAAGTTTTAAAAAATAAAAATTTGAGTTTTGAGAGTTGATTTGGATTCGGATTTTGAAACTAATCATATATATGAATTCGTGGGGTTATGGGTATTCGGAATCTACCCTTGGACCCGAGTTTTGACAGTGTGGGCCTCAGATTGATTTTATTGACTTTTTGGGAAAAGTGTAAAGTTCATAGCTTTATCTATTGTAATTGTTTTCTCTTGCGTTGTTTGATGATATTAAGTCAAATTTGGTTAGATTTGAGCCATGTGGAGGCAAATTTTAGAGGAAAAGCTATTTCTGAGAGTTGATTTGGCCTAATTGATGTAAGTATCTTGCCTAACTTTACGTGGTGAACTAACCCTTAGGATTTAGGATTGATTATGTCATTTATACTATGTAAAAGTCATGTACGCAATATGACAAGTGGGTACACAGATTATATGTGGTATTTGACCGTTTAGACTATTTAGACTCTTTCCATATTTTAATTGAATTGTCATATCATGTTCTAAATTCTCAAGTCAATCTAGTCCTACTTTTGTAGTCTATCCTTACATGCCTTAAATGACTCGGTTAAAACTTGTTCTACATCTTGATATTTTTCTCTTATGCTTTAATTGAAATTAATCATATATATGAACGTGTGGGCTTGGTCCACGACTTGGAATTGATAGCTATTATTTATGCGTTGAAGATTTGGCAGCATTATATGTACAGTGTCCCTTGTGCGGTCTATATCAACTATCGGAGTCTGCAACATCTTTTCAAACAGAAAGATCTTAACTTACGGTAACAGAGATGGTTAGAGTTGCTTAAAGACTATGATATCACTATTCTATGTCATTCTAAGAAGGCTGATATGGTGCCTTATGCTTTGATTTGAAAGGCGGAGAGTTTGGGCAGCTTAGCATATCTACTAGCAGTGGAGAGGCCACTAGCTATATATGTTCAGGCCTTGGCTAACCAGTTT